CAAAAAACAGAGCAACGAAAATAATATAATCAAAAGTCTCAAACAGAAACTAAAAACTAACAACGCAATCACGACCAAAGCTGACAAAGGAAACATAACTGTACTAATGAATAGAGAGGAGTACATACAAAAAACGAAACAACTTATCAAAGAAAACAATTGTAAGAAATTAGTAAAGGAAGCTGCAATAAAAGAGACTATAAAGAAATCTACAAAAATAATAAAGGCGAACCAAATACATACTTTGACAACTATGAATCCATCAGCTCCTCCGATGAATGCACTACCTAAGACCAATCATAAACCACAAATCGGCCCCAAGCTAAAAATTATCAAAATATTTAAAAACTATACTAAAGGATAACCTTGGATTGCCCAATAAGTACACAATATCTAGTACAACGGAATTGATTGAAAAATTAAAAGACTCAGTTATCACGTTGGATACTAAGCTGGTATCATTCGACATAAAAAATCTATACCCATCGATACCCATAACAGAAACAATAGATATCCAATTCAAAATACTGACAGAAAAAACAAGAAACAGAGAAATCTCCGTGGATATAACTAACGCACTCAGAACGACGTTGCGTCAAAACTACTGTAAATTTAATAACAACGTATACATGCAAACAAACGGGCTAGGCATGGGCAACCCCACATTGGCGATTCTTATGGAGGTATTCATGCAGAATTTGGAAGAAAGGTACATGGAGTATCTTACGTCACAACTAGGAGCGACGTTCTACGCCAGATACGTTGATGACATCATATGTCTTATAACAAAGGAAAATGAAAAACAGATATTGGAATACCTCAACAAACAGCACAGCAACATAAAGTTCACAATGGAACAAGAAATGGAAGGAAAGCTAAATTACTTAGATCTGACGATCAAAGTAAATAAAAACCCTAGTAGTCTGCAATATGAAATTTTTAGGTAGCGCACAGCTTTTCGCGTTCCCGTACACTTCTGCATCTGTTCTCCTGTTACTCTCACTAGAGAGAGTAATATTGTAGTTTGACATTTCCACAGGTTTTAGTCCGAAAAGTACTGGAACAAACTAAATATTACGCCAATCGAGCTGTGAGTAACTGGCCGTGACATCAACAAATACCAGAATGAGAGAGCAAGACGAACTCGACAAGAAAAAGAGGAAGCATCGTTCAAAAGGCAGTATTGCCAAGTTTTGAATTTGAAAAAGCACCAAATTTTTATTGGTGTATTTTATGGACTTTATATGCTTACATAATTTTGTTGTAAGGATGCCGATTCAAATTAATAAAAATCAATATTTTTTGCACAACGGTCGATTTCTTCTGGCATGATTGAAGGTGCTGACACATATTTTGTTGTCGCATATGATTGTCACTGTGCAATGATTTTATTTAAATTTTTGTAAAGTTGGTGGCCAGATGCGCTGATTTTATCAGTACATGTGCTGATTTGTTTCTATTGTACTGATTTTTAAGAGCCCAAAATCAGTACACATCTACTAATCTACTGATTTTTTGAGTTTGTACTGAGTTTTACATTTAATACTTTTGTAAATTTGTGTAATTGACATTTACTTGAGGTTTACATGTTCAAAACAATGGTTTTTGATAACTCATATGTTTGAGCAGATTGAAAGCATTAATTAAATTTAAACCATTATTAAAAAGTTGTCAGCTTGCAATTGTTTCGTTTCCTAGGATTTCGCAAAATAACAAAGTGTTTGGATTCAACCCAACCCAACTTCACGATTTGCAGGTTTTACAGGATTTACAGGAAAAGCTGGTTTCGTCATAAAAAATCTTATGAAAGGTGGTGCTGAGTTAATCATATATAAAGTACACTGAGAAGATGACAATAAGGGATAATCTTTTGATTATAATTATACATCCACTGAGAAATCGGCCGTCAGTACTTCAAACTTAAGACGACTACTGCTACGGTGCAGTGTAAGTTTTAAAAATTTGGAAAAGGTGCAAACTACCGACTGTTGGATATGATATACATATGTAGCTTTACTTTGATTTTTGATGTTCGACCACCTTTAATTTTACTTGTACATTTAACACTATTAAATTTCATTCGTACTCGAAAATTCCTTTAGCGATAATTCGGTAATATACCTTTTAGTCAACATTTTAATGTGAATGTTGTATTTAATAAGCACACCAACTAAATATGTTTTAAAATACACAACAGATTCTGACTGAGATTCTGACTCGAGCTCGTCTTCTACTGAAACTGAATGGGCTACGATTTTATTTTTTCTCAATTCTTATAAATTTTCTAGAAAGTTTGAGACTTCAACTCACATGTCTTTTGTTATAGAATTAACTATATTTTTATAAAAAATTTAAATTAAGTAAGGCAAGAAAAAGTCTTCAAAACCTGTCAATACATTTTACTACTATTTTCCTGAGCACAGCTGTACATAAATACGTAATACCATTGATTTGTTTTAAAGTAATGAATTTTTGTATTGATAATCTATACGTATTTAAAAGTCGATTAGTTATTTTTTTTAATTAATGCGCTGTTATTTGGTGGTTATACTATTAATAATATAAAAATATGCTTAAAAATGAGCTGATTTTTATGGCTTTGTACTGATTTTTGATCCCAACTGTACTGATTATGTCCCTATAATATCTGGCCACCCTACTTACCACACTTACGATTGCTACAAATTTGCTTAATTTTTTTTAAGATTTTCAAATTTGGTGTCTTCAAACTAAAAACAAAAGCACCAAAAACGCACCAATCACCAAAGTCAAAAATTTTCGCGTTTTGAATACCCACTAATTTTGGTTCGAAAAGCATCAATTTGCCAACAGTGAATGTAAACAAAAGTATTGTATGACGTCACTGATTGGGTGGATGCTGTCAAATCGGCGAAGAGAGGGTTAGCGGTCCGCGAATGGCGCGTACTTTATTTTTTGGATCGTGCATTTACTCAATACACTTACACCATTGAAGCGCGAATTGCTCTGCGCTTACCAACCAATCTTACTTTTTGTTTTGCCGCCCTGCAAAAAATTGTGCGACTAATCTCTAAAGAGACTATTCCGAGATTACTCTCAATCGGAAACAACTGGGCATTAATTAGTCCCAACTAGTCTCATACGGGTACTAATGGAGGTCAATTAGTCTCGACTCATCCCTTATGGGTATAATTGGAGATCAATTAGTCCCCAAATAATCTCTTGCGGGTACTTTTAACGATTTAATGATTTGTACGCACTTAGTCAATGAAAGTTCATGTGCGGCGTTGGCACACAGAGAGAGTATTCGCCTAACAAAACTGAGCAGCCCGGTTCGAATCTCAGCTGGCTCAAATTTTTATTTTTATTTTTTAAAAGTGACTAGTCGCTTTTTATACCCGTTTGGGTATAAAGGTGAACAATTAGTCTCTTCATAGGACCCCTGCAAAAAATGGGACTAATCCGGGATGACTCCGGGAGCAATCGCAAAGGAGCATGCGACTAATACCACTTTTGATCTCTTTATATGGAATGAACTGATCGCTTTTGTTCGAGCATGTCCTATGAAGAGACTAATTGTTCACCTTTATACCCGAAAGGGTATAAAAAGCGACTAGTCACTTTTAAGAAATAAAAATAAAAATTTGCGCCAGCTGAGATTCGAACCGGGTTGCTCAGTTTTGTTAGGCGAATACTCTCTCTGTGTGCCAACGCCGCACATGAAATTTCATTGACTAAGTGCGTACATATCATTAAATCGTTAATAGTACCCGTTAGAGATGAGTTGGGGACTAATTGATCTGCAATTATACCCATAAGGGATGAGTCGAGACTAATTGACCTCCATTAGTACCCGTATGAGACTAGTTGCGACTAATTAATGCCCAATTGTACCTGATTGAGAGTAATCTCGGAATACTCTCTTTAGAGATTAGTCGTACAATTTTTTGCAGGGACATGCTCGAACAAAAGCGATCAGTTCATTGCATATAAAGAGATAAAAAGTGGTATTAGTCGCATGCTCCTTTGCGATTGCTCCCGGAGTAATCCCGGATTAGTCCCATTTTTTGCAGGGCGACCACTGATCTAAATGCAAATAGCACGGTGATTAACAAGATTTACATTAACCCTAGAAAGATAACCCTACTGAAAGTTGCGGAAAAGATAACCATACGTCTGTGAGACGTATCATGGTTTGCTTGCCTTAATTTTATGGTATAAATATTTTATGAAAATTTTTCTCAAAGATATGAAGTCTTTAAATATTTATTTATTGCATTTTATTTAAAAGTATTCTTCATTTAAAATGAAAATGCCACCGATTTCAATCTTCAATATAGAGCGAAACGTTTAAAAAGGATACGTCTCGCAGACGTGGGTCATCAAAGCTTAAAAGATATAACTAGTAAGGTAAGGTGTTACACTTGTCTCGATACAATGTTTGACCAATTGGTTCTTACATACTACAGACTTGATGAGCTAAGCGTATCAAACCCAATATTAAGTTTAAAACCGCCGCGATTTTAAACTTAATTTGAATGTATTTCACGCAGAAAATTGGGAATTTCTATTTGGAAAATTTGTTTTTGTGAATTTTGATTTTGGGGATTTTGATTTTGAGGATCTTGATTTTGGGGATTTAGATTTTGGGGATATTGTGGTACACCCATGCCAAGCATATGAATACTTTTTACCATTGTGAAATTATACCAGGTGATATGAAAAGGGCGAGGATTGATTTGATCCCATCTTGTTTGAATATTTGCCATTAAAATTTTTAATTAGATTGCCGAATTACAGAAATTAAAACAATAAAGCTGTTTTATTAATTCACCTGTTTATTGCGCCATGAATTTTTACTAATTCGTACACTAAATATTTATGAAAGAATTTAATTGTATGCTTATGTATTTTCTTTATCTTTTATAAATGACATGACTCAACTTCGTATTGCATTGATCTTCAAAATACCCCATCCATAATCGGCCGTAATTATTACAATACGACAACAACTGCTAAAGGGGCAATTCTTTTCTGGAAGCTCTTATCGTATATATCTGTTGGGAAATCCTATAATCTGGTGGAGTAACTTGTTTTTCCTGTTTACCTTTTTGGTTGTTTCTTTGGTAGCAGCTGTAAAGCAACGTCGTTTGGAAGGCCAACAGCTTCACCTGCAATTACGAAAACAACAGACGTCCAATCCAAAGGTTTATAAAACAAGATTTCCAAATGACGGTAATATAAACACTCTTTTTATTAACATTATAATTGCTCTTTAAGGCACAGAATCAAGCTCTCAAGAAAACTCACAAGAGATATTTTTAATTATTTTTGTTGCTTGAAAAAACACTTTGCTTTTGATATAAATTTTCTATGAGAAATAAATATACGCGCATTATTTTCTTGAGAGCTGCAAACTGATTTAAGAACTTGATAAAAGAAAATTTATGTATTTTCCATTTCTTGTGCGTCATTTTATGTAATTTTTTGTTTTTCTTGAGAACTGGAAACAGCCCGAATTATATTCGACTTTGAAAAACGAAATGGAATGATTCGTTACAAAACCTAAGCGTGTTTCCATGGTACAATTATTACAGGTAAATATTGTCCTCCCAGAGAGCGCATATTCTGATTTAGAAAATAGTTTCATTCCTTATCTTTTTGGACTAAAATCTGAAAAGTGTCAAAATGCCAGAGCGTAAGCAAAATGCGCTCACTAAAAGAGAGTAACAGGAAAAGTAAAGGAACGCAAAAAACCAAATTTTTAGTCCAAAGAATGGCAACAACAAAACTAACGTCAAATAAGAACAGAAATGTATGTACAAAACACATTCACACAAGCACAAGCACAATAAACACTTGCTATATCAATTATTTTTTGCCTCCTTCCAATTTCCATTCATTTCTTTTACTTTTTAGATTATTCTCACTTTTTTCGTATTCTTTAATTTCCGTTAATTTAAATTCAGTTGAGTTTGACACTTTTCAGGTTGTTGCCAGGAAAAATTCTTCAGACTAAATCTGACTACTTCGGACTGATGAGAGTCGCTCTCACTGACTGTTGCTCTCTCATTTTTGCTGTCATTTCCGAGTTAAGGAACGCTTTTTGGACTAAATCTGACTACTTCGGACTTTTTCTGACTATTTCTGGGAGATAAAGAACGCGCCTAATATAATTGCCCACAATAAAAGTTTATGTTAAGGGAAAAAGGGATATCGTAACTAGACACGAATAAAGGCGCGAACTCAAAAAATGGCCGCGAAAAAAGACGCATAAAAAAACTTTAGCTAAGAAAGACTCTAACATAATTGACGGCGAAGGAAGACGCCCTAAAATATTTGACGGCGAAGATGGACGCGTAAACTTATTTTTGCGGTGAACTATGGTTGCGGGTGTAACAGTAGATATGTAAATTCCCCAAAGAAGGTATATTCCTTATCTTTTTGGACTAAAATCTGAAAAGTGTCAAAATGCAAGAGCGTAAGAAAAATCAGAGAACTTAGATAGATAGAGAAGCAGAGAACTTATAAAATAGAGAAGATGCATATTTAGGTTGCATCGAACATTTGTCTGAAACGTTTAGAGGACGGAATGTCACCATCCTATTTTAACATTTCGAGGTTTCTTAACATTTGAAATTTAACATATTTCTCACCAAATGCTCCTTAAACAATGTTGCATGAACCTGGGCAAGTTGTTGCCGAGCAGAGAACTTTTATTAATAATCACACATCATGAAATATGTTTGCAATGTTTTCTGCAAACATTTTTGATACAATTAATACAACAAATTTTTGTCTTATTATTCCGAGTACAATGTACATATTTCTGGTTTCAATTCCTATTGCGTAGCTGGTTCGCTTCTATATAAGTTTAAAAACATATCCTTTTTTGTTATTGCTGTTTCCGAGAGAACGAAAAATGACACTGAAGATGGCACAACGCTGAAACCGGTTTGTCTCCAAACCAAATTTGACAAGGGGTGACGGAAATTCGTTCTAAAATACATCATTATAAACATCCTTTGGGAAAATTTTCCAAAACGGATCCAGGCTTTGGAAAAAACAAAATATTAGGGAGTATAGAGGAGCTTTTTCAGATTCTCAATCTGAAGACGCCACCCTCCGGAGCCTTATAGTTTTTAAGTAAATCGCATTTAAAGTTGCAAAAAAATACCGAATTCAACTTCCCTTTTTCCCTTGTACACCAACTGAACTGAAATGTCAGTGCTGCCATTCATACTAAAAAATGCCAAAAAAAACCCAAAACGGAAACAATGAAAAAATGCACATACGCCACAGGCGGGAATTTTTAATTAAAAATCGCGAAATTTGTAATAAAAAATTTGCATAGTTTATCGAAGTATCGATTTTATAATAAAAAGCGCCGCGGTCGAACATTTTTCATAAAAAATCGCGCGGTTTTTAATTAATTAGAAAAGAAGATGAAAGTGCCACCAAATTAAATTTCTTTTAAGGCGTTTTATGAACAATATATTTTTAGAAATAAAACCTTTAAAATATACTGAAGTAATATAATAATTATTAATTAACTAAATTATTACAGTAAGTCACTTTTATGAAGGATTCCTTAGACATATACATAAATTCATAATAAGATTAGACAGCATTCCAATTCTTCTTATTTGGCGCTGTAACCGCCTAAGCGATTTTGGCCGAGTTCAGCAAAGCTGTGCCAACTGATGCCAATTGGAAACGTTAAGTGAAGCCATGTCCTTCTTCACCTGATCTTTCCATCGCAGTGGAGGCCTCCCCCTTCCTCAGCAACCACCAGCGGGTTTCGAGTAGAAAACTTTCATAGCTGGAGCGTCGGTGTCTACTCGAACGACATGGTAAAGTCAGCGGATCCGCTGTATTTTAATTCGCTGCATTGTCCATGTCATAGTAAATCTCATACAGCTCATCATTCCATCGTCTGCGGTACTCGCGGTCGCCTACGAGTAAAGGCCCATATACCAGTACGGGCATGATGAGTGACTTATAGAGTGTGGTTGTCGTACGTCGAGAGAGGACTTTACTCCTGAATTGCCTACTCAGTCCAAAGTAGCACTCGTTGGCTTGAGCTATTCTGCGTTGGATTTCTATGCTGACATTATTATCGGAGTTAATGCTGTACACACAAGTACACGAAATGGAAACGATTGGAGGAGATACTTAGTCATGTCTTCGTTTACCACCAGACCCATTCGCTTTGCTTCCTTATCCAACCTGGAAAAGGCAGAAACGACTTCGCGGTTTTTGTTACCGATGATGCCGATGTCATTGGAATAACCTATCAATTGCACGCTCTTGTAGTAAATTGTTCTGCAGCTCTTGTTATCTTCTCCAACATCAGATTAAAAAAGTCGCATGAAAGGGAGTCGCCCTATCGGAAACCCCGTTTGGTGGCGAGGAGAGGACTTTCGCAATTCTGACAGAGCTGATGGTATTGCTCAACATCATTTTAGACATCAGATGTAGCGGCGTATAGGAAACTGTGCTGGTGCTGTCGAAAGCGGCTTTAAAGTTGACAAATAGGTGGTGAGTCTCGATCTTTTTCTCGCGGGTCTTTTCCAAGATTTAGCGTATTGTGAAAACCCGGTCTATGATGGATTTGCCAGGTCTAAAGCCACACTGATAAGGCCCAATCAGTTCATTGACTGTGGGCTTCAGTCCTTGACACAATACGCTCGATAAAACCTATGCTTAGAAGGCGGATCCCGCGGTAGTTGGCGCGAATGGCGGGGTCGCCTTTCTTGTGGATTGGGCAGAGCAAACTTAAATTCCAGTCATCGGGCATGCGTTCAGCTGACCATATTCTACATAAGAGTTGATGCATGCACCTTATCAACTCCTTGCCGCCATACTTGAATAGCTCAGCTGGCAGGCTGTCAGCTCCAGCAGCTTTGTTGTTTTTCAGCCGCGTTATTGCTATTCGTACCTCGTCATAGTCAGGCGGTGGAACATCGACTCCGTCATCATCGACTGCGGGCTCGGATTCTTCTTCTCTACAACTTTTCTTGCTGCTACCATTCAGTAGGGTGGAAAAGTGTTCCCTCCATAATTTAAGTACGTTATGAGCATCAGTAACTAGGTCACCATTGTTGTTCTTACAGGAGTACGCCCTGGTCTTGAAACCTTCCGTAAGTCGCCTAACTATCTGGTAAAATTTTCAGGCATTCTTCCTGTCGGCCAGAATTTCAAGCTCTTCGCACTCACGTATTTCGGCCTCTCTCTTCTTATTGCGGTAAATACGACTCACTTCCCTCTTCAGATCAATATAGCGGTCCCACATAGCGCGCGTTGCTCCCGATCGCAGCGTGGCCCTGTAGACGGCATCTTTTTTATCTACAGCTTCCTGACGCTCCTCATCGTACCAGTTGTTCTTTCGGGCTCGCTGAAATCCAACTACTGCTTCGGCGGCGGTACTTAATAAGCGGAGAATGTGGTTCCACTGCTCGCATATGTCGGTTTGTTGAAGAGCGCTCTCTGAGAGCAGGTGTGAGAGTCGAGTAGCGAAAGGACTGGCTGTGTGTTGTGATTGCAGCTTTTCGACGTTAAGCTTTCCTTGCATATTTGGGCGCACATTTTTTACTGCTCAGAGGCGGGTGCGTATCTTGGCTGCAACAAGATAGTGGTCCGAGTCGATGTTTGGGCCTCGGAGTGTGCGTACGTCTAAAACACTGGCAGCGTGCCTTCCGTCTATTGTAACATGAAGTCGATCAGCCTCAATCCGTTATCGGACGTTTCGTCGTGGAGGCTGAATTTTCTGACGGTGGTTCCAAAGATCCCTTCTTTTCCCACCCTGGCATTGAAGTCGCCAAACGCGAATTTGATATCATGGCGGGGAAGCGCTCGACGCGTGCTCCAAGCGCTATAAAGATATCCTTGGATGCCTCATCTTTCTCTTCCGTCGGGGCGTGGGCGCAGATGAGCGAGATTTTGAAGAATCTCGATTTGATTCGAATTGTGGCTAGACGCTCGTCCACAGGGGTGAACGACAGTACTCGACGACGGAGTCTCTTTCCCACCACAAATCCAACTCCGAATTTGCGCTCCTTTACATGGAAGCTGTAGCAGACGTCGCAAGGCCCCAGGCATTGCTTGCCATGTCCCGTCCAACGCATTTCTTGGATGGCGATGATGTCAGCTTTTGTCCTGATGAGGGCATCAACCAGCCGGGCAGAGGCACCTTCCCCATTTAGGGTCCGGACTTTCCAGGTGCATGCCCTCAA